GCAACCACCACCAAGCAAGAAACACACCACCAAGCAAGCAACACACACAAGCAAGCAACACACACCAAAGCATGCAAACACACAACCAAGCAATGTGGCAACACACACCAAGCATAGCAAGCGCACACCAAGCAAGCAACACACACAAGCCAAAGCCAACCACACATTAAGCAAGCAACACAACACCAAGCAAGCAACACACACCAAGCAAGCAACACACCACCAAGCTAGCAAACACCCAAGCAAGCAACGCACACAAGCAAGCAACACACACCAAGCAAGAAACACACACCAAACAAGCAACACCACTCACCAAGCAAGCAAACCATCACCATGCAAGCAACACACCACCAGCATGCAACAACACAAGCAAGAGAAACACTCACACTCCAAGCAAGCAACACACACTCAAGCAAGCAACACACACCAAGCAAGCAAACGCACATTAAGCAAGCAACACACACCAGGCAAGCAACTCCACACCAAACAAGCAACACCTCACCAAGAAGCAACACACACCAAGCAAGCAAACACACACCATAAGCAAGCAACACACACAAATGCAAGCAACACACCACCAGCAAGCACCACCACACAAGCAAGCACACAACGCAAGCAAGCAAACACACACCAAGCCAAGCAACACACATTGAGAAGCAAGCAACACCAACACCAAGCAAGCGCTCACACCCATCGACAAAGCCAACCACACACCAAGCAAGGCAACACACAGACCAGAGCAAGCAACACACACCAAGCAAGATACACACACCAGAAGCAAGCAGCACACACCAAGCAACAACAACCACCAAACAAGCAACACACACCAAGCATAAAGCAACACACACCAAGCAAGCAACACACACAAGCAAAGCATCACACGACCAGGCAAAGCAACACACACCAAGCAAGCAACGCACACACCAAGCAAGCAACACACACAAGCAAGCAACACACACCAAGCAAGCAACACACAGTTAAGAGCAACACACACCAAGCCAAGCAATAACTCACACCAAACAGCAAACACCTCACCAAGCATGCAACGCAAACACCCAAGCAAAGCACACCACACCAAGAAGCAACACACACCAAGCAAGCTACCCAAAAAAAAAAAAAAACACCAGCAAGCAACACAACACCAAGCAAGCAACACACAACCAAGCAAGCTACAACACACACAAGGCAAGCAACACACACCAGCAAACAACACACACCCAAGCAAGCAACACACACCAAGCAAGCAACACACCAAGCAATAACACACACCAAGCAAGCAACACACACCAAGCATAGCAACACACACCAAGGCAAGCACCACACCAAGCAAACAGAACACACACGAAGCAAAACAACACACCAAGCAAGCAACACCACCACGCAAGCAACACACACCAAGCAAGCAACACACACCAAGCAAACAACACACACCAAGCAAGCAACACACACCAAGCAAGCAACACACACCAAGCAAGCAACACACACCAAGCAAGCAACACACACTAAGCAAACAACACACACCAAGCAAAACAGCACACACCAAGCAAGCAACCCACCAAGCAAACAAGAAGTACACACAAGCAAGCAACACACACCAGCGAACCAACACACACCCAAGCAAGCAACACACTACCAAGCAAGCAAAAACACACCAAGCAAACAAACACACACCAAGCCAAAAGCAACACACACCAAGCAAAGCAAACACACACCCCAAGCAAACACACACACCAAGCAAAGCGCAACAGCAGGCACCAAATGCACGCAACAACGCCAATGCAACCCACACACACCAAGCACGCAAACACCACACCAAGCAAGAAACAACACAAGCAAACAACACAACAGCAAGAACAGCACACCAAGGCAAAACAACACACACGCAAGCAAGCTACCACATCCAAGGCAAGCAAACACACACCAGAAGGCAAGGCCACACACACCAAAGCAAGGCTAAACACACCAAGCAGCAACACACACCAAGCAAACAAACACACACCAAGCAAGCATACACACACCAAGCAAGCAACACACACCAAGCGACGCAGAATCACACCAAGCAAGCAACAACACACCAAACAAGCTGCACAGCACACAACAAGCAGCGCACACACCAAAGTAAGTCAAACACACACCCAAGCAAGCACTACACCAAAGAGCCACAACACCAAGCAAGCAACACAACACAATGAAGGCAGCACAACACCAAGCAAAAAAACATACACCAAGCAAGCAACACCACACCGAGCTAAGCAACACAAACAAGCAAAGTAGCACACCCCCAAGCAAGCAACACACTCCAGAAAAAATCAAAAGAACAACCCAGCAATGAAAACACGATCACCAAACAAGCGAACACACACCACACACACCAAGCAAGCAACACCACACCAGCAAGCAAAAGGCCACCTATAGAGCAAGCGCAGCAACACAAGCAAGCGAACACACATACCACGCAGAAGCAACAGACACACCCTAAGAAGCAACACACACCAGCCGCAGAGCAGCAAGACATCCAAGTCGCAAGCAGGGACTAGACACACCAAGAGCAAGCATACACGCCGTCCAAGCAACGCGCAACACAGCACCCAAAACATGCAGACCCACACCAAGGCTGAAGTATACACGACACTCATGAAGAAGCAGAAGAGAAAGACAGCTCGAAGCAGCACTGAGACATACACCAAGCAGAACTAACACACACCAAAGCAAGGCCACACACAGAAAGCAAGTAACACACACCAGCAAGGCAACGCACACACTCAAAAAAAGCAAAACCACACCAAGCAAGCTCAACACACCACAAAGCAAGCACCACACTAAGCAAGCAACACACCGTGCTCAAGCAATAACATAAACACCAATCAAGCAACACACAACATGGCAAGCTACACACACAAACAAGCAAAACACACACGAAGCAACACACACCAAGGCTAAAGCAAACAGACACACAAGCAATGCAACACGCACCAAGCAAAGGCAGACACACACTCAAGAAAAGCAACACACACCAAACGAGGCTTCAGCAAATAAAAAGCAGAAGCAACACATGCCCAAGAGCAAACAACACATACAAGCATTGCAACACACACGCAAGCAAGCAACACACACTAAGCAAGCAACCACACACAAAGCGAAGCAGCACCGCCAGTGCAAGCAAAACACACCATGGGAAATCAACAGCTCACGCCAGAAGCCAGCAAACACGCCGCAGTGCGAAGCAACACACGCACCAGAGAAGCAACCAGAACAAGAAGCAAGGCAACACACACGCCGAAGCACTCACACCAAGCGAAGCGCACACAACCAAGTAGCAGCACACACAAGAGCAAGCAAACACACCAAAGGAAGCTAACACATCGAACAGTCTCAAGCAATAAACACACACCAAAGCAAGCACAGTACACCGAAGCAAGCTCAACACAGAGCGGACCGCATAGGCGAAATCAAGTGACACACAGTCGAGGCAAGCAAAATGCCGTGCAAGCAAACACACCACACCAAGCAAGCAACAGCTGCCGGCAAGCAGAATACACACCAAGGCTAAGCAACTCCGCAGTGCAATCTAACACACACCAGAAGCTAAGCAACCACACTCCCACAGCAAGCATCCACACACAAGCACGCAAACACACCAAGCAAAACACACACCAAGCAAGCAACAAGATTTCCGCAAGCATGCAACACGCCGTTGCAAGCAACACACACCAAGAAGCAAACACACCCCAGAAACAAGATCACACCAATGTAGAAGAAAGCAACACTACATTTCAAGCAAGCAACAGGACCCAAGCAAGCACACTGCCAGTGCAAGCAACACACACCTCAAGCAAGCAACAAAATGTACCAAGGCGAGCAACAAATATCCAGCAACAAGCACAGGCCTGTGCAATGCCCACACAAACTAAGCAACAAAACACCAGCAAGCCCTACACACACCAAGCAAGCAAACACACCAGGCCAAGATGCACACTCCAAGCAAAGCAAACACATCACGCCAAGGTGACAAAACGCCATGTTCAAGCAACACACACCAAGCCAAGAAGCGCGAAACACACCAGGAGCTGTGGCATGCAAAGAGTTATGTACACTTTATTCGTGGCATATACACTCCCTCTATTTTAAAAGCTACTCCCCAAACAAGCAAAAACGAGTGTAAGGCTCCCAATGTCAGACCAGTACCTAGGTTCAGGTCCAATGAGTAAGGTGGGTCTGCAATTGTGGGATGATGTTGTCACCACGCAGTTTTGGGCATACCCTGGGGTCATTTTCCATTCTAGAGAGCTGGATTGAACACGGGTTGTCCCTTTGTTACCTGGTGCTGGGTCTGTGTCTTTTACAGTTTAACTGATATAGTGTAGATATTTGCAAATACTTATAATCGCACTTGGTGAAGGTAATATAATTCAGAGACAATCAGTGGCGTTTGTTCTGCAACTTGCTGTCCATTTAGCACCAGAGGTAACAGGTATGAATGTTCCTGGGGGTTGTGAGAATTGAGAACAGCTCTTCCTCACACGAAGCATTTATTTTTTACTTAACCTCTGGCATTTATATATTACTTAACCTCTGGCATTTATATTTTACCTAACCTCTGGCATTTATATATTACTTAACCTCTGGCATTTATATATTACTTAACCTCTGGCATTTATATATTACTTAACCTCTGGCATTTATATATTACTTAACCTCTGGCATTTATATATTACATTTATGCTCTGAACAATGTACGGGACATTGATTTGCTAAGAGAGTGACTTTATAAATATTAAATAGCTGTAAATACACATTTTCTTTACTATAAGAAATATATTAACATCGGAACGAAGAGACTAATATAAACATCAGCAAGAAGATAAATAAAAGAAACACTGATAAACAAAATAAAACGAATGGACAAAGGAATTCTGAAATTTTGGTTTTGAAGAAAAAAGTTGATCAGGATTAAAGGGAAAAAAAAATTTTTTTTTGGGCTCCATGAAGACTGATAATTATATTTAGCAATTGTAATATTTAATGCTGGAAAATAAATCGATAAATCACTGAAGATAAATACATAAAGAACAGTTTAAAAACTGCGCAGGCTAGAAGGCAATTTTTTTTTTTCGAAAACAAAAATGCTGAATACTTTGGTTTTTGTTGTGTAGTTGCTGTGATGTTGTCAGTGAGCAACCTGCAGGAACCGGCGGGAAAATATCACTTTAGCCGTTTTATGACTGAGGGTGGGAAGAGTGTAGCAAGGGCCGGAAACCTATACATCGCAAAGACAAGGTCTGGAGGCCAAGACATCGCGAAGACAAAACCTGAAGGCCAAGATATCGCAAAGACAAGGTCTCGAGGCCAAGATATCACGAAAATAAGGCCCGGATGCAATGATGTCATAATGACAAGGCCTTGAGACCACGATATCACGAGTACACTTCTTCAGAACTGTTGGGTAAGTGACGGGTCTCCTTGAGAACGATGCGTGGCCACCACTTCGCCCTGGCCCCGGCGGCTCCCGGGTGATGACAGAAGAGCCGGTTGCCGTAAATCATATTTTTCTCTATTAGATGATGGTTGAGCTCGTAAAGGGAATGAAGCGGCTGATGACTGATGCCAGCCGCCTTGGCCATCACTCCGGAGATGAAGGCATCGTCCACCCACAGGAACCGAACCCGGAAGAACGCGTTATAGAGCCTGGGTGCCAGGTACGTCGGGATAACGAAGGCGCAGCCGGAGCAGTATGTCGGGAAGGTGCTGTTGGGAAACTCATCCATGGAGACGCACCACTTGGAGCATCCCGTGCCTCTCAGCTACGGGCATCCCCCACCACACGGCGCACAGCAGCTTGGACGGAGGTGCGCCGTTGGCCGACGTTTCCCAGGCAGCGTAGTACTTGAGGAACGCCACCAAGCTGAAGACATTAATGACAATGTCGTCGTCACTCTTGAGGATCCAGCGAGCATGCATACAATGCTCCGAGATCCACTGCAGAGCTCCCACACCCTGCAATGACAACCTTCTAATGTAGTTACCCCATAACAGGAAAAAATCATACACATTAATTATTATTTTTATTATTATTATTATTATTATTATTATTAGTAGTAGTAGTAGTAGTAGTAGTAGTAGTAGTAGTAGTAGTAGTAGTAGTAGCAGTAGTAGTAGTACTAGTAGAAGTAGCAGTATTACAGCAATAACAATGTTGAAGATTGAGACACTTATGCAGCATATGGGAATCTTCATTCAGGAAACGTTTCGCCACACAGTGGCTTCATCAGTCCAATACAAAGAGGAAGGCGTAAGGAGAGGAGGAGTATGAGGTAATCAATCCCTCAGCCTGATTACGCCTTCCTCTTTGTATTGGACTGATGAAGCCACTGTGTGGCGAAACGTTTCCTGAATGAAGATTCCCATATGCTGCATAAGTGTCTCAATCTTCAACTTGTCGGTTTTTCAAACCATTCATCACAATAACAATATTGACAGAGTTGATGTACTGAGGTTCACAGTAATATTCTTGTATAGTGTTTATGTATGTGTTTATGTTCATTAGTGACATTAATAATAATAATTATTATTATTATTATTATTATTATTATTATTATTATTATTACACTATGTAACAAAAATTCACTTGTGTGGTGTTCCTGGGGAAATAAGCATCATTTCCTAATTCTTTATAACTAAACAAACTTTAAAAAAAAAATTAATTCCGGAACTTTGCTTTTGTGGTCAGGACACTTCTGGAACACTTTTAAGAAAGACTGATGTAAAACTATTATGTTCTAGGGTTTTGTTTGGCAAATATGAAAACAGGAGCTCACAAACCAGCATTCACTTCATCTCTGGCTACCTGAGAAGACACATCAGAAGAAGTGAAATGGCATCAAGAGGCTGCAGTCATTCTCCAGATACATTCTGCTGCACATGTGGACCAAGACAAGACCTGGGCGCCTCATATTGCTTGTGAACATTGTAAAAAAACATTGGAAGGCAAGAAAGTCATTAGTTATATGAAGGGAAAAATCTTGAATAGGAACATTTTTTTTAAATGACATGTATGTAACAGAAACTAATTCTTTTGTTCTTTTACAGGATGATATAGAGGAGAAAAAAGAACCATGAAGTTTGGTGTTCCTGGAATATGGTGTGAACCCACTGATCACTCAACCAACTGTTACTTCTGTCTGGTGGATCCTTCCAAACACCGAACTGGGAAAAATGCACCTGCTATTTCTTATCCAGACCTTCCCTCTTCCACTGCACCAGTACCACACTGTGCTGACCTTCCTGCACCTACACCTCCAGAAATATGTCAACCATCAGAAGAAGAAAGCAGCAAATCAGAAAATGAAGAGCACAGTGAACAAGACTATGATCTAACAGATGCAGCTGTTGGGAGGAATCCTTACTACCCAAACCAAACACACCTCAGTTACCTTATCAGAGATCTTGGCTTGACAAAGTCAAATGCTGAGCTTTTGATTTCAAGGCTCAAGGAGTGGGACTTGGTGGATGAAAGTGTGAAAGTGACAAGCCAAAGACAACGTCACTAACATTTCTCAGTCTTCTTCACTAATGAAGACAAGTTGGGCTACTGTAATGATGCATCAGGCCTGTTTGATGCAATTGGAATTGCATGCGATCCAGATGAGTGGAGATTCTTCATTGACAGCTCCTCCAGAAGCCTAAAAGCTGTACTTCTGCACAATGGGAACAAGTATCCATCTCTTCTCTTGGCTCAGTCAGTGCATCTTAAGGAGGACTACAACAGTGTCAAACTTCTACTGGAAGCTTTGAACTATGATAAGTATGGCTGGGAGGTTATTGGAGACTTCAAAATGGTGGCATTTTTGATGAGACTCCAAGGAGGTTTTACAAAGTTTCCCTGTTATCTCTGTCATTGGGATAGTAGAGACAGAGCAGCACATTACCAGAGGAAGCACTGGCATCAAAGGACTGAGTTCTCAGTAGGAAGACATAATCAAACATAAACAAATGGTGGATCCTCTAAACTGTTCTGTTCCCTCCATTACACATCAAACTGGGGCTAATGAAACAGTTTGTTACAGCTCTTGACAAAGAGTCTGTAGCCTTCAAGTATCTTCAAGACTTATTTCCCAAGCTATCACAAGTCAGGAAAATCATGGAGTGCTCAAAATTTCCAAAGAAGCTCACAGAGAATGAAAAGGAAGCCTGGGAGAGTTTTATTGCTGTAGCGCAGGGCTGTCTGGGCAACAACAAGGCTGGCAATTATATGGAACTTGTTGAGACCTTGGTAAAAAGCTATGGTCAGATGGGCTGTAGGATGTCCATTAAGGTCCATATCCTTGATGCTCATCTTGATATTTTCAAGGAGAATATTGGAGCATACTCAGAGGAGCAAGGTGAGCGCTTCCACCAACATATAATGGACTTTGAACACAGATATCAGGGATCTTATAATGAAAACATGATGGCAGACTACATTTGGGAGCTTAAGTGAGAAAGTGATTTGTTGCTGCTCACAGATCTAGAAAAACTGCTCATGTTTAACTTTGTAAATATGTTTCAGAAAGTTTAAAATAAAGTTTGTGTAAATTTTGTTTTATTTATTTAAATTTTATTTATTTTATTATATGTTTTTGTTTTACATCCATGGCGAGCAAAAAAATAATGAAATATAGTCATTTTTTCTCAGTAATTCATCCTGTAAGAGACAAAAGCAAAGTCTAAAAGGAATAATGGACATTTTCTCTTGTTCTACGATATAAGGAGTTGGAAAATAACACTTACCTGCCAGGAACAAGAACTGTGTTACATTGTGTTATTATTATTATTATTATTATTATTATTATTATTATTGTTGTTGTTGTTGTTGTTGTTGTTGTTGTTGTTGTTGTTGTTGTTGTTGTTGTTTGTTGTTGTTGTTATTGTTGTTGTTGTTATTAATAATAATAATAATAATAATAATAATAATAATAATAAATAATAATAATAATAATAATAATATTATTATTATTATTATTATTATTATTATTATTTTGTTGTTGTTGTATGTTTTTTTTTTTGTTGTTTGTTGTTGTTGTTGTTGTTTTTTGTTATTTTTACGTTTTCTTGTTATTTCTTGGTTGTTGTATTGTTCTGTTGTTATCTAATCTAATAATATCACTAATATACATAATATAATATATATAATAATATTATTATTAATTATATTATTTTATTATATTTATATTATTATTATTATTATTATTATTATTATTAGAATTAGAATTGTAATAGTATTAATTTTTAATCATCGTCATCCCCATTTATTACGTCCCATTCCTCTCTACATTCACTTTCCCTTGGCTTTCCTTAATTTACCCTCCCTCTACGTTCACTCTGCATCCTACTTAAGTTCACTCTGCATCCTACTTAAGTTCACTCTGCATCCTACTTAAGTCTTCCTACTTGGAAGTCCAGACGATTCATATTCACTTTTCCTCAGTTCCACGTGCGAGAGTTCACTTGCCTCCTATAACTCTAATACTTGCTCTTTCTTGATCCTATCCATTCTTATTATCATGAGAGGCCTGGTCACAGACCGGGCCGCGGGGCGTTGACCCCCGAATCTCTCTCCAGGTATACTCCAGGTATACTCCAGGTATGGCAGTGTGCATTGATGGTGTTAGATATGCAACAGTTTTTCCTGACAAAAAACTTCCGAGGTCATGTATTAGACTCGGACAGGGCTGTCACAACAGAATTATACATACACTTCTCATGGCTAACATTGTATCGATGTCTACCTCGTCACTCGCAGTTGTGTCGGACACTTACAGTACATTACAGGCTATCCAGAGATTCGTCTTCCCTCATCCCACCGTCCTTCGCATTCAACTTTGGTTATATCACATGTATAAGAAAAGCAAAGGCGCAATTTTTTTTGCTGGGGACCTTTGCACGTCGACGTTAAACGGAACGAACAAGCAGATCGACTGTTCTCGCCCTCTCAATTTACTACAGGGGTATTCCTTACTCAGATTATTTTTCAGTGATCTCTCGACAGTTCAGCAACCGATGGCAAGAACGTTGCTCTAGTTGGTCCACAACAAATTGTTTTCTCTCATGTCACGTTTAGGTTTCTAGTCGTTTTCCTCCCACCGTTGTCGTGTTTGGGAGACTACTCTCCCGTCTAAGCATTGGCCACACACACTCCTCACTCACGGATACCTCATGGAAAAACGCTCAGCACCATTCTGCGAGAACTGTCGGGTTGTACTGTCAGTTAAACATATCTTGTTAACAGATACGTGGACGACAGTCGTTCATTACGACTTAAACTGAGTTCATATCTTACTAGAATGTCCAGACTGACAGCCAGGGCACAAAATTCTTTATGGTCGTCTCAACCGCCCCAACACACTAACTCTCACTGACCTACCTACTAAAAGTTCCACTTGTGATGCAAACTTCCTCACAAACTTTTCCTCTTGCAGCCTAACTTCACCCACACTAATCCAGGCCTGGCACACTCCAGCCCTTCACTCCCTTATTACCCTCACACTTACCTCCCTGCAGTGCACAATGACCCTTTCAGGTTTAGTGGTAAATTTGAATATATTAGTTCTATTACCTTAAAGAGGAAATTCTTGAAGGAGTCGACCCACCTTATAAGAGAGAATCTTGTAGGAGTCGACCCACCTTATAAGAGAGATTCTTGTAGAAGTCGACCCACCTTATAAGAGAGATTCTTGTAGGAGTCTACAAAGTCTAGTTGGATGATGTCTCTGTATGTGTCACTTTCTTCGTTGATTTTCTTCTGTTCATCGGCTGACTTAGCCGCTCCGAAAACGAAGATCACCCGCATACGGATGTATTGGTAGTATCTGCGGGAGAAGTGGCTGTGATGTAATGATGTGAGAATACTTGCGGAAGGTTGCGGCGATGGTGGTACTGGAGGTGGTGGTGTTGCTACTGGTGGTGGTGGTGGTGGTGGTGGTGGTGTTGGTGGTGTTGCTGGTGGTGGTGGTGGTGGTGGTGGTGGAGGTAGTGGTGTTGCTACTGGTGGTGGTGGTGGTGGTGGTGGTGGTGGTGGTGTTGCTGCTGGTGGTGGTGGTGGTGGTGGAGGTAGTGGTGTTGCTACTGGTGGTGGTGGTGGTGCAGTGGTGTTGTGGTGGTGGTGCGGGTAGTGGGGGTGATGGTGGAGGTGGAGATGATGGTGTTGGTGCAGTGGTGGTGTTGGTGGTGGTGCGGGTAGTGGGGGTGATGGTGGAGGTGGAGGTCATGGTGGTAGTGCAGTGGTGGTGTTGGTGGTGGTGCGGGTAGTGGGGGTGGTGGTGGAGGTGGAGGTGATGGTGGTGGTGCGGGTAGTGGGGATGATGGTGGAGGTGATGGGGTTGGTGCAATGGTGGCGGTGGTTTTGGCGGTGCCGTGGTGGTGCTGGTTGTGCCGTGGTGGTGGTGCTGATGGTGCCGTGGTAGTAGTGGCTGTGGTTCTGGTGGTGCTGATGGTACTGGTGGCGCTGGTGGTGCTGATGGTGCTGGTGGCGCTGGTGGTGCTGATGGTGCTGGTGGCGCTGGTGGTGCTGATGGTGCTGGTGGCGCTGGTGGTGCTGATGGTGCTGGTGGCGCTGGTGGTGCTGATGGTGCTGGGGGCGCTCGTGGTGCTGATGGTGCTGGTGGCGCTGGTGGTGCTGATGGTGCTGGTGGCGCTGGTGGTGCTGATGGTGCTGGTGGCGCTGGTGGTGCTGATGGTGCTGGTGGCGCTGGTGGTGCTGATGGTGCTGGTGGGGCTGGTGGTGATGGTGGTGCTGGTGGTGCTGGTGGCGTTGGTGGTGCTGGTGGTGCTGGTGGCGCTGGTGGTGCTGGTGGTGCTGGTGGTGCTGATGGTGCTGGTTGCGCTGGTGGTGCTGGTGGTGCTGTGGCGCTGGTGGTGCTGGTGGTGCTGGTGGCGCTGGTGGTGCTGGTGGTGCTGGTGGCGCTGGTGGTGCTGGTGGTGCTGGTGGTACTGATAGTGCTGGTAGCGCTGGTGGTGCTGGTGGTGCTGGTTGCGCTGGTGGTGCTGATGGTGCTGATGGCGCTGGTGGTGCTGATGGTGCTGGTGGTGCTGAAGGTGCTGGTAGCGCTGGTGGTACTGGTGGCGCTGGTGGTGCTGGTGGTGCTGGTGGTGCTGGTGGCGCTGGTGGCGCTGGTGGTGCTGGTGGTGCTGATGGTGCTGGTGGTGCTGGTGGCGCTGGAGTGCTGTTGGTGCTGATGGTGCTGGTGGTGCTGGTGGTGCTGGTGGCGCTGGTGGTGCTGGTGGTGCTGGTGGTGCTGATGGTGCTGGTGGTGCTGGTGGTGCTGATGGTGCTGGTGGTGCTGGTGGTGCTGGTGGTGCTGGTGGTGCTGGTGGTGCTGGTGGTGCTGGCGGTGCTGATGGTGCTGGTGGTGCTGGTGGTGCTGGTGGCGCTGGTGGTGCTGGTGGTGCTGGTGGCGCTGGTGGTGCTGGTGGTGCTGGTGGTGCTGGTGCTGCTGGTGGTGCTGGTGGTGCTGGTGCTGCTGGTGGCGCTGGTGGTGCTGGTGGTGCTGGTGGTGCTGGTGCTGCTGGTGGCGCTGGTGGTGCTGGTGGTGCTGGTGGTGCTGGTGGTGCTGGTGGTGCTGGTGGCGCTGGTGGTGCTGGTGGTGCTGGTGGTGCTCAGGTGCGTCGGCACTTATGTTAATAAAAAATGAAAAACAATACTAACAATTACGAATACCACTTGTGTTTGTGTGTGTGTTTGTGTGTGTGTGTGTGTGTACTCACCTATTTGCTCACCTATTTGTGGTTGCAGGGGTCGAGTCCTAGCTCCTGGCCCCGCCTCTTCACCGGTTGCTACTAGGCCCTCTCTCTCCCCGCTCCATGAGCTTTATCAAACCTCGTCTTAAAACTGTGTATGGTTCCTGCCTCCACTACGTCATTTCCTAGGCTATTCCACTGCCTTACAACTCTATGACTGAAGAAATACTTCCTACTATCTCTCTGACTCATTTGTGTCTTCAACTTCCAATTGTGGCCTCTTGTTTCTGTGTCCCCTCCCTGGAACATCCTGTCCTTGTCCACCTTGTCTATTCACGCAGTATTTTATATGTCGTTATCATGTCTCCCCTGACCCTCCTGTCCTCCAGTGTCGTCAGGCCGATTTCCCTTAATCTTTCTTCATAGGACATTCCCCTTAGCTCTGGAACTAACCTTGTTGCAAACCTTTGTACTTTCTCTAGTTTCTTGACGTGCTTTATCAAGTGCGGGTTCCAAACAGGTGCTGCATACTCCAGTATGGGCCTGACATACACGGTGTACAGTGTCTTGAATGATTCCTTACTAAGGTATCGGAATGCTGTTCTCAGGTTTGCCAGGCGCCCATATGCTGCAGCAGTTATCTGATTGATGTGTGCTTCCGGAGACATGCTCGGTGTTATACTCACCCCAAGATCTTTCTCCTTGAGTGAGGTTTGCAGTCTTTGTCCACCTAGCCTATACTCTGTCTGCGGTCTTCTGTGCCCTTCCCCTATCTTCATGACTTTGCATTTGGCAGGATTAAATTCGAGAAGCCATTTGCTGGACCAGGTGTCCAGTCTGTCCAGGTCTCTTTGAAGTCCTGCCTGGTCCTCATCAGATTTAATTCTCCTCATTAACTTCACATCATCTGCAAACAGGGACACTTCTGAGTCTAACCCTTCCGTCATGTCGTTCACATATACCAAAAATAGCACTGGTCCTAAGACCGACCCCTGTGGGACCCCGCTCGTCACAGGTGCCCACTGTGATACATCATTACGTACCATGACTCGTTGTTGCCTCCCTGTCAGGTATTCTCTGATCCATTGCAGTGCCCTTCCTGTTATATGCGCCTGATGCTCTAGCTTCTGCACTAATCTCTTGTGAGGAACTGTGTCAAAGGCCTTCTTGCAGTCCAAGAAGATGCAATCAACCCACCCCTCTCTCTCTTGTCTTACTTCTGTTATTTTATCATAGAACTCCAGAAGGTTTGTGACACAGGATTTGCCTTCCGTGAATCCGTGCTGGTTGGCATTTATACTCCTGTTCCGTTCCAGGTGCTCCACCACTCTCCTCCTGATAATCTTCTCCATAATTTTGCATACTATACACGTCAATGACACAGGTCTATAGTTTAGTGCCTCTTTTCTGTCTCCTTTTTTGAAAATGGGAACTACATTTGCTGTCTTCCATACCTCAGGTAGTTGCCCAGTTTCCAGGGATGTGTTGAAGATTGTGGTAAGTGGTACACACAACATATCTGCTCCCTCTCTAAGGACCCATGGAGAGATGTTGTCCGGTCCCATTGCCTTTGAGGTATCGATGTCCCTTAGCAGTTTCTTTACCTCCTCCTCATCTGTATGTATGTCGTCCAACACTTGTTGGTGTATTCCTTGTTGGTGTCCCCATCTGGTCTGTCCCCCCAGAGTCCTTCCTGTCTCTACTGTAAATACTTCCTTAAATCTCGTGTTGAGCTCCTCACATACCTCTTGATCGTTTCTTGTGAGTTCCCCACCTTCTTTCCTCAGCCTTATCACCTGGTCCTTGACTGTTGTTCTTCTTCCTAATGTGGCTATACAGCAGTTTCGGGTCAGATTTGACTTTCGATGCTATGTCGTTTTCATACTGTCTCTGGGCCTCCCTCCTTATCTGTGCATACTCGTTTCTGGCTCTTCTACTAATCTCCTTGTTTTCCTGGGTCCTATGCCTCCTGTACCTTTTCCATTCTCTGTTGCACTTAGCTTTTGCCTCCCTACACCTTCGGGTAAACCAAGGACTCGTCTTGGTCTTCCTATTATTTCTGTTTCCCTTGGGAACAAAACTTTCCTCTGCCTCCTTGCACTTTGTTGCCACATATTCCATCATCTCGTTTACTGATTTTCCTACCATTTCTCTGTCCCACTGAACCTCCTGCAGGAAGTTTCTCATACCTGTGTAGTCCCCCCTTTTGTAGTTTGGCCTGTCCCCTTCAGTTCCTGTTCCCTTCTCCACTTGTAACTCTACTATATAGTCAAAACTCAGAACCACATG